TGCAAGTCATTGTCCCTGCATCACCCTGGTTGGGATCAGCTTAGGTAAGAGTTGACCCCAGTCACCGTCCCTGTTCTTGAGAAAATGGTGGACATCTTCGTTTGCGATGGTCGAACTAACACACACACCCTGGTGTGGAGCATACAGTGGACATGATCGAAAATAACAGTCGTACTGTTGGTTGACAGCTGAACTGAGCATCAAGATGTAATGGCTCCTTACTAATGTGATTTTCATGGATCTCCCGCGCAGCTGGGATAAGAGCTGGTATGGTATTAACTTAGGGACGGCTCCGGCGGCGCCAGCCACCTGCGCCTAAGTCCGCTTCCAATCTTTCTGACACGGGGTCCAGGTGAGAGGGGAGGCTAGTATGCCATAAATGTCGCGTAAGACTACTATTACTATAAACCACATCCCGCACTAGTCATTGTCCCTACGACCACAGTAATCTGAGGCACATGGTGTAATTCCTCGGCGACGATGGTTAAGCCTTCTGGTACTATAGAAAACGCGAAACGCAACTGAATTTTCGTTCACCTACCTGACATTAACCATCAAGTGGAAGTCAGCGTAGCTTTCTGGGATGCTGACAGGACATCCGTGAACTGATTTAATTTTAGCAGGGTTTGCCCTGGCAGTGGCAAACGATTGCCCGCCTATTTTCCCGAAATATTTTTTATCCTTCCGTTGACACTAAATACAAGCGAAATTTGCCGCCGTTCCGCACCACAGCAGGTAAAAACATAAAGGTTTATAGATTACTAAACAAGTCGATCACCGGAATCATGGTTTTATTCGTCTGGACTCTTCCTGAAGCCATCGTCAGAGATAAAAGCGTCAAAGAAAAAAACAAGCAACAGTCGACAATAAAAGCAACAGTTACAGGGGGCAGGGACCAATCAACCACCAGTGCCATCAATCCGGAGATTCCTGCACAGTTTATGCGATACGGATATCTGAAGGCCTTCATACGCCTTTGCCTACGTGTTCGATCTCCGAGAACTCAACTAGAACCGCCCGCGAGATATGGCATGCGCTGCCACACATCAGAGCCGTGTCAGAAGCGACCAAGCACATTGCTGCGGGACTAGGCGTCCGACTTGCCTACCGAACGAAGGCTACCAAGCACGGCCGAGTCATGAAAATCAAGGACCGATTAAATTCCAGCGACCAGTTTGGTGTAGTGTATCTAATACCGTGCCTCAAATGTCCTCGAAATTACACAGGACAGACTGGACGCATGCCTTGTCCGCGCCTACACTAACATAGACCGCTTGTAAGACGGGGTGACGCATTGGCACAAGTGGCTGCCCACACTTGTGGGACGGGTGACGAGTTTAACTTTGCAGCCGCGAAGACAATCGCCCACGTCGGCAGTTAGACAGACCGCGAATTGATTGAAACCCGGGCCTCAAATGAGATTTATCGACTTATCGATCTGGCGCAGTCACCTCGGGACTGACCTCATTGGTAGTTGATTCTGGTGGTCGTCGCGCCTTCTTCGTCTTCTTCTTTCCCTATACACATACACCAGGGATGCGAACATTCGCTTCAGTTCGTGAGATCAATAATCGCCTCGTATTCTTTACTATACTTATGTGTTTATGTACTTGCAGCAGCATTCCGCCATTACAACAACACACGCATTCTCCTTCCTCCTTGAAGGTACCGTCTCGGTCGCGAAGGAGAGTCTCACCTATTTGCTGGATCCCGAAGTCGGCAGTACAACAGGCAATCTTGTGGTGGTGCCTGTCGGTGGTGCCAGGGAGGCGCTAGAATCACGGCCTGCCAAATATGTGATCGAACTGAGCAGGCGTTTCGGCTTCTTCAAAATCGCTCTCACCACAGGGTATGCTTTTTGTTAGGAAGCGGGGCGGGGGGTCGGACGAGAATGTGTGACTGTATTAGAATGTATTTTAAAACCAAAAGAAACCTATTCTTCAAGTTTAGCATTTAAGGAAGGCCTAGTTTGCTCGTTTTCTGTAAAAAAAGACTTTAATTTATAAGGGCTCTGAAATTAAATGAACAACATGCATATCACTTAAGTAGCAATTTTTTATAGAGTATGCTTTCGATAGTTTTAAAAATTCTACTCTTTTGATAATCTATTTATTTGGAGATGCTTGTTCAAAACTATCTTGATGTGTATCTCCTTAGTTCTCACCCATTTCTCTATTCTCTACACCTCACCCGGCAGACACAAAGTTTATTTAAATCGTAAATATACGCCTACTTAATTTTTAAAGTAGACTTTATTTTACAACTGTAGTTGTCACCTGATTCCCTGTCTGGGTTTTGGCGAAACACGGATGTTTGACCAAGTATCTAATCCTCCAGGATCGCGACTTCGCCAGCTTCAGGAGTGGTTTACCACGAAGGTTACTCTATCGCCTCCACTGCTATACTCAACGAGCATTCTGCCCTATCGTTTCCCGCTCAACATTGTCCGTAAGTTGCGCATACACCATTGGATTTGTGTCTCCCTAGTCTGTTCCTAGCCGATGTAGGCGGAAACAGGAAAAGCTTTCCTAAATGCTTCCTTTTAGTATTAATGGGTTTCGCGCACATCACTGAGTCAAAACTACCCAGACGTGGCAGATGGCTTTCATAAAAATCCCTGTAGCAAAAACGCAATGGTTGGGTGCTGCCACCGATTCAGTACAGCCATAGGTCAGTATTTTAAAATGTTCATGGAAACGCAGAGGAGTAATTGCTGATCGTAATTTTGGATAAATCTTTCGGAAATTAGCGGATGTTTCAAAAAAACAGGATGCTGAAATTATGCAAAAAACCTGATGTTGTAGAACAGATTATCTATCTCATGAGATCTCGACCTACATTCTAAATTGCGGTTTTGTGGCATTACTTAAGTAGAGTTATATCATTGATTATCTTGCAGCTTAGTCCTAAAATATTTCCGTCACTTCAAAATGCCTCCTTTTGAAAGAACATTTTCCGACCGTCTGCGAAAGGCATGATCTGTAAAAAACAACGACTACTCAAGTAGCATGCTTTTTTTCCATTTATTTTAAATGCCTTATAAATTCGAATATATTTGGTAGAAAATACTGATACAATTATTCTTTCTTGAGCACTTTTGGTGGCAAGACTGTTTTCTAGAGTCGCATAAATATCTATTTCCTCCGCCCAGCTGTCTTACAGAATTAGCGGTTGAACACTTAATTATTGGTTAACGAGTGTTAATGAATATGCAGTTGTGTCGAAAGTGAACAATGAATATTAAATTAAAGCCACTTATAGTTGTTTTAATCAGCCAAACAGAATCAGCTTCATCAACATACACTCCTGTTGCTCAGGCAACTGATGTCTATTGATGGAAATTTGACCTTATATTGACGGAATGTAACGAGAAATGGGGAAGTCGGGTGCCTGCAAAAGGTAAAATTAGGGTATGATTATTATAAGTTTAACGCAAGTAGGATCTCTAAAGGCAGTCCTGCCCTTTTGATAAAATATTACACCCTTTTCAACTTTAACGTCCTCGAAATTAAATGGGGCAGACTGGACGCATGTTTGTTTCGCGCGTACATGAACATAAACTGGCTGCCACGGGTCACGATTTAATTTCGCAGCCGAGGATTTAATCGCCCACGACGGCAGTAGGACAGGCCGGGAATGGATTAAAGCCTGCGCCTCAAATGAGAACTCAGTAAATCGATTTTTCGATCTGGTGCCGTCATACAGAGCCCTTCGCTGTCACCTCTGGACTGATGTCACTAGTGATTAATTTCTCCCCCCCTGCTCCCTACAACCGCTGCTTTTATATTGAAACTTTATCTCTGACGATGGATTCCAGTAAGATTTCGAAAGCTCGGACGAATAAAACCATGATTCCGGTGATCGACATGACTTCATCTTCTCCTCTACCTATACACACGCGATATTATAACTGCACATAATTTTTCTTTAGTAACCCAAATCGTTTTGTTTTAAATTTCGTTTAATTCTTTATGAGACAGCTCACCTAATTTGAATGCAGATTTCAAGTTTACCTTTATTTTCTCTCGCTTATCTAATAGTAGTAGGTAGTGCTTTAGGAAAAAAATATTGCTCGTCTCAGCACAACTGTTTTCCATTTATGTTGACTCCCCAGTGGGCAGGCCGATTCTTTGCACGAAGAATGCCGATCCCAGCGAAGAGGACGTTTCAGATCTGCGAGAGCTCTACAGGGAAGCCCTGGTGGATTTATTCAACCAGTACCGTCCTCTCTACGACCCAACTGCTCATGATATTGAATTTATCTAAACGATCCTGTGGTATCGGCTATTCTCAAAAAATATTCTTATCTTCTCGAAACACACTGTTGAAGCACTTGCTCATGTCTATCAGGAACACTGTCCTGATCCTAACCCCTCTCCCCGCCCCCACCCTCTTCCCATGGTTCGGCCTGTTTCCACAATGTCTGATTACACTATTTTCTGAGCCGACAAGGAACTCCTTAACATTTTTGTTATTAGTTCATGCTGTTGTTGGCTTTCATCGGAACAAGCCTTTTTGAAGTGACTTGTCTTCATCGTTAGGGGCTTCTTGGTTAGGTTTCACCGTAGTGCGAATGCATGTTTGTCACTGCGGTCGGTCGTCAGTTGAGCGAAGTTCAGATGGCGGGACAGGGCGTCGACAGTCTGGTTTCTGGCTCACTGCGCTAACTTTGCATAAGTGAGGAAACAATCATATACAGCAGATTGCCTAACTCAGGGAATGTGAATATCGAAAGTCGAAGGCGTCGTTTAACACACATCTGAGGTTTCTTATTGTGTTTATTCAAGTGAGATGAGGCACAAAATACTGTTTACTAGAAAATAATTCAGTTCAGATGAAGTGGGCCAACGTGGGCCAAATCCAACGTTTCTCGATATTCAAGGTATTTCTTACGCTAGAAAACGCCGTGTATTGTACTATAAAATAAAATCAATAACAGCCACAAACGCTTTAACTGTCTTTTTAGAGAACGGAAATTTTCGTTTTGCCTTCAGGAAAATCAGGTAAACGCAAATATGAGAAAGTGCATGGTTTTCGGGAAAAGAAGTGTGGATTCAATTAAACAAATTCTATTTTGCAAATCTGGTACATTTTGCGTCACAGAATTTAGTAAGAAACTTTTGCAGCTGTAATTCATTTTGCCACACCGAAAATAAGGACTGCGAGCAAGCATATATATAGAGTGGATCCGACAAAGCAAAGGGAGACCAACATGGCCATTTCTGGCTTGCTAGCCGTCATCAGCCAGTCATACCCAAGCTCAAGGGTTTGAATCCCCGAGATTCGAATCCGGAGCCTTTGCTCATTGAGTTTACAACTCTACCATTGCACCACTGGCTCGTTGCTTTGTCGATTGTGATAGAGTGGATCTGACAAATCATATTCTCGATCACAACCGACAAAGCAACGAGCCCGTAGTGCAATGTTAGAGTTGTAAATTCAATGACCAAAGGTCCTGAGTTCGAATCTCGGGGATTCCAACCCTTGAGTTTGGTTATGACTGGCTGACGACGGCTAATAAGTCAGAAATGGTCATTTCGGTCTCCCTTTGCTTTTTCGGATCCACTCCATCATATATCTGAGGCCGCTAAACGACGGCCTGAAATCGCTCAAGTACGAGCCTCAAGGCACACCGGGACAAGTATATGCCCAAATTAGATGGATCGAACACACCCCAGTTCCATCATATATGTAGAAGGCGGAAGAACGTGCTCTGCGCCCGATCCCTCCTCCGGTCTTCTTCGCTCTGTCTTGACGTCGGGCACAGGTATGTTAGAGAGGAGAGAGTACGGTGGATGCAGTGCAAGCCTACTATCAATTAAATCTAATCCACACGCAAGTCACCCCGTTTGCCTCCAGCTTGCCTTGCTTCTGCGATCTTCAGGCCCAGTTCCGTGGCATTTCTGGGAGTCAGACTTGAATCTGATGGGCCGGGCTGTTACATGCGCACTTGCTAGCAGCCGCAAGAGGTTGAGCGTTGACGCATTTTGCGGCGCCGGTGATTGGCTGTTCCAGTGGCAGGTCAGCAGTGGCAATCGCGTAATCCCATGTGTGACTTGGCGCCAGAGGTGGAGAGCACTACAGGATCGCTACAAATGGTTTCCACTGAAAGACAGTACTTGTGTTTCTTTCATCGCCTTCCAGCGCACTAGCTTACAGGTCATCAGAGTACATATTTCTGCAAGCTCCTGGGACTCACACTTAGCAATAAAGTAATTTCCATTGGCATTGGTTTGCGGATATTAACAATGGTTATATAGAGAAACCCGTACCACGCATTTGATGATAAAGATCAGCTAACTGCACAACAGTCCATTATTTGCAAAAGGATTGTGTTTTAATTCGAAATGGCAATACATAGCGATTGGGGAGATCTGCAGTCAGACCGACAGTTCCCCCGTCGGTTTAATTAGTAATTGTGGTGTTCTATCGTCTCACGCACGCGGGTTCTAGGCTGTTGGTGGTGTTGGCTACAGCAAGCAGGGAAGAGAGGGCCGGAAGGGGGTGTTCTCAGTGTTGGCGTGCGTATTTGGTCAGGACCAACACCACCAACAGCCTAGAACCCGCGTGCGTGAGACGATAGAACACCAC